ACTAATTAAATTTCCACAGCAGGAAATTCTCTGGTCACCTTTTGAAAACAAAGCGTCCGTAGCAACTAAGAAATCATGCTGGTCGCAAAAAAAAATCGCTTGCGGCAAAAAACAAAATGGCAAGTCAGTTTCTGAAATTGTTCAAAACGAATAGGAATACGCCATGCACTCTTTTTATTTTATAAGGATATATTTTATAAGGATATCGAGGCTGAGATTTGCGAAAATTTAAGAATATTTTAAGAATAAACTCCAGGCAGAGATTTTGAAAAGGATATTGTTTTCGGGTGTTAGTGTATGTTGAAAGTCTCTAAATATCGTACTAATATACCTTTTTAACTGATTCCTTTTTCAAAAACAGACTGTCAAGGAACTTTACACATTGTCATGTCTTCCAAGAGATGATTGAGTGATCATTCTTTACTTTTGTCAGACCTTATTTAGGCCTGTTTCAAACGTCGTGCTACTGCCGTGCTAAGCTGGCTCGACTGTAGCTCGACTGCAGAACGACACTAGGACGACTTGGTTTGAGACGTCAAATTTAATTCAGTCCAATAGAACGGCAATTGCCGAAAACAAAACACAAAAATAAAGAAACTGTTTAGCAAACTTTTAAATGTATTCTAATGTATTTATAATTTACAAATTGAGTTCGGCACGGCAGTAGCGCGACGTTTGAAACAAAGTTTAGTAACGTGCACTTGATGATGGGAAGATTTACTAACGTGATGATAGTTAGATGATTTTGAAAAAGACGTTGGAAATTTCCATCATCTTTTTTTTAATTTATTTTGGCAAATGACGTTGGTAATTTCCATGGTCATTTTGCATTGCGTGAAAAATGCAACAAGAGACTTGTAAATTGTTTGAAAAACTTACAGTTTTTACCATATATTTCTACTTGTGGCAATAAAATACAATAACCTCTAAGTTCTTGCCACTTCTAGCAGGAAAGAAAATATGGTATTTTGTAAAAAAAGTTTCCATCCTTACGTTCAAAGCAAGAAACCTGCTTGTTGTGACATGTCTAACTTGGCAAAGAATGGAAAAAATAACGTGCATTTTGTTCTTTTGTTGACAGTCATACTGCTAACTCGGTAATATTAGGTATGAATTACCTTATTTTTACCAGATGTTCATGTTTTTCTACAATTTTAGCCTCTAATCATCAAATTTGTGCCATAATTCCCAGTAGTAGATTATCTCACTTGGCTATAGAACGCGTTTTGATGGGGTCAGTGGATTTAAATAGGCGTTAGAACTTGTCGTACATAGAGACGATTGTTCACGTTTTAGGGGTGTAGAATGGTAAATTCGAGATTTTGAAAGACTGCCAGACCTTGGTTTTAAAATTCGAGCTCGAGACTTTACTTCTGAAAAATCTGAGCCCGAGATTCTAAACGCTGAAAATTTTGAATGCGAGAAAATGGTACAGATAAAGCTATATAAAATGAGTGAAAACGCCACTGGAAGCTAGCGAAAGCCTACCCGTATACTGCTTTATTTTGTTTTACTGTCTTGTTCGATAAGCTGTACCCTGGACTGTACGAGTCAAATTTTTCAGAGTACATAAGTAAAGACAATACAGAAAGAAAAAGCGACAAATCCGAGACTTGATCCGAGACCCGTCAGCCAAAAATAATTCGAAACTCCGAGAGGCAAAACCTGGCCGAAAACGAGACTTCGAGACCCATTAAAAACACTTCCGAGATTTCGAGATCGGGCCAAAATTTTTCGAGGCCCACGTTATTCGAGGTACCACCCTATACCCTTCGCTTTGGCTCTCGATCAGGGATATGCCAAAAGATTGTTTTAAAGATCCAACTCTATAGCTTTAACAAGGGCCGAGCCCAGACTCTGTATAGAAGAACAAAGAATTAATGGACATGTTCAACAAATTTACCTGTTACTGATCTATCTTCCAGTTTGTAGACAAAAATTCCACATTGTATCAGGAGGTACATGACTATAATCCATACTGCCAGATTGGCAATCAGACGTCTTCTACTTCTCATTTTATCTTTTTAAATTTGTTGCTGCCCAAAACAAGTTATTCGAATATGGAGTCAAATTTAAATTCAAGGCTTCGCAAAATACTTTTAAATCATGGTTGATTTTCCTAGGTAACAACTAGAAAAAATTACAAAATATTGAGGGATGTTGGACCGCACGCCAGTGGCCGTCTCAGAAGACGCTAGAACTATATTCAATTCAATTCAATTCAATTTTTATTTACACTTTTATAAAAATATTTACATTATATATAGTAAGGTAGGAATACACTAATAAAGGAGGAGAAGAAGAAGGAAAAAAAATAAAATTTATGGCTTAGATAGAAGTGTACGGTGGTCAGAGGCGCTTAGCTTTCGAGCTTAATAAGTAATTCTGGTTTTTTAAGACTGACCAGTAGATGAAGCTTTCTGTTTAAGAGAGCTGCACATAATCAGTTCAAGTTTAATAAGGGATAGAAAAACAAAAAAGAACGGTAAATGTTGTTTTTTATTAGTTTTCTAAATCTGGAATTTTTAGGGGGAAAATACTTCTGACGGTACGGTATCAGTCGTCTCAGCATCATGTAAACTTGGCTTAAGAAGAGGCTTTAGTTTTCTTGAAGTTGATAGGCATTTGATTGCAAGGAACCAAATATCCTACGTTCGTTTTTTTTTTTTTTTAAAAATTAAGAACCCCAGGTGCCCCAACCTTGTTATCACAAACCGTGAGCCACAGTACACTTCTATGCTAATTTGTCATCATGATCATTATCATCGCAGTCAGTCAGTCGGTTCGACGAAGGCTGTTCTAGCGTTCAGTACAGTTTAATAATTCTTCTTCGGTTGGGATCGATGTCCCTCCATTTCATGTTTCTCTTTCAGCAACATCTTTGAACCTTAATCAAGGCCTCCCATGGTTATGCATTCCCAATTCCCAAACAGAGTTGAGAGTATAACAGCTTCTTTGATAGTCTGTTATTATTTATCCTATGCACGTGACCCAGCCATCTGACATGTCTGAGATTATTCTCAATGAGAATATCAGCCATTGATGATAGTCCTGTTCTGCAGCGAATTTCCACATTCGTGACCTTGTCCTTCCTGGATGTCAGTGTTCATTCGCTGCGTTCATTATGACTCTTATATACCTCATCATATAAGCATGGAGCTTCTTCATTTGACTCTGATTCCACGCTGACTGCTCCAACTTGGTTTTCCAAGTAAATACGTTGTAGGAGAGGCTCCCCCATTCTATTCTTTGATCAATACTAGTTAAAATCACTTAGGTTATGAAGGGAGGGTCTCAGCTCCTCAGGGAATGTTCGTTTGAACGTATTCAGGAATAAGAAAAAATCTTCAAATCTAGTTAAAATACGTTATTACTTCTCTGATAACTTAAAAGACACAGGCATTTAAAAAAAACCCGCCTTCGTGGTCGTTTTTTCTCCTCGCCATGTCAATGTCCATTTCAAGTCAGACGGAAGAGATGAGAAAGTTGAAAAAATAAACGTGCAATTCACGCCCACTATACTGACGAAAGCCTCATCTCCAGCTCTAGCTAACACACAAGCTTGTACATGCAGAGAAATACTCGCCTGATCTTACTGAACTGGAGATAGTCAGAGAGGATATTACATGCCCGCAGGTGGATACGAATTTGATCTTCGAGCGAGTATTCAAGTCGATATCTCACTCCTTCCCGATATCGACTTGAACACGAGAAGATTAAAATTCGTATCCACAAGAGGACATGTAATATTCTGTTTATTATTAGACATCGATGAATTACCATGGGAACGATTTCTTGGACTAATCGTTGAATGATCAGTCTACATGTCATAAAACATAGATCTTACGCACAATTTTAATTTGGATTAGAGAAAATAAGTAGGGTTCATCTGTATTCTGAATGTTATAGCAATAAGACATAGGAAATTTCATTAAAAAAAGGCAACGTAATTGTCCTTTAAAACGTGTAAATAATTTATCGAAAAAAATCAGGCGAAGGATAAAACGCCTAGCTCATGTGCTGTGGATAAATATATGTGCAAAATTTTAAAAATATTAACGTGGACCAAAAAGTTCAAGATCTTGTTTTAGTTGCCGAGGTATGGTGTGTTAACTTTTTCTTTTTTTTTTTGGCAATTTTCTCACTTTATTATGTGCTTGAATAAAAATGCACAATATTAAAAGACCTGAATTATTCAGAGTCACCTTCATATTCAGCATCACCAGTTTACTCTTGGCTTCCACTGTTGCCGTCACTTTCAATAGACCTTGTCACGGTTTTCGACGCCATCTTGACGAGTAGGCAAACGCGTGAGAAATTACAGTGTTTGTATGAAAATCCAATGTCGAATAATTTCCGTAGAACGGCTATTCTGAAAAAAATATGATTTGTAAACTAAAGCTTCACTCCTAAGGATTCTCCTGAAAAAATTTGAGGGCGTTACATGCAATAGAAGACCTATAACCACTTTTTAAGATTTTCTATACATTTGTCTGTAAGAAAGTCCCGGGAAAATTACAGACAAATATATGGAAAATCTAAAGCAAGTCTCTGAAGAAATTTAAGCACAGGTACGTCCCCCAAATTTTTTAGGACAATCCTTTGCTTTGTAGCTTTAGTTTACAACTGATACTTTTTTTCAGAACAGCCGTTTTACGGAAATTATGCGACATTAGATTCTCTTACAAACACTGTAATTTCTCACGCGTTTCGGCCCCCGTTCTGGACTTGTGATTGCATTTTTAGTCGGTGCCAGATTGAAATTGAAAACACCTCCAGTGACATAATTTCCTTGAAACATTGTTTCGAGTGTTTTTTTAGCGGCTGAAGTCGATGAATGTGCCTCAGTAAAATGACTTTGTACGAGATTATGCTGTACTGCTGGCAGTACAGCATTCGTCGTTCGGATGATGAGGATGACAAAATCTTCGAAATGTTCTCCATTTGTCTTTCTCTTAACGAGCTGTAATTATTAATTGATTGTAGATTTTTATGGCCAGTTATTTGAACGATCTGGTTCGGTAGCAAATAACTATCTTGTAGTTTTTGAAGTAGTGTGTTTTCCTTCCACTGTGATTTGTTTTCACAGAGATTCCCACCGTTTCGGTCATTTCTTTCATTAAGCTGTTGAGCTTGTTAACGCCCATTGGCTGAGATTTAAACCATTTTGAGCCTTCTGACTTTAATTCGCCTTCAGTCTTGAAGTAATTTACTGCCAAGTAGAACGGTGAGTCTGGCTTCAACATGTTTTCTGGGCGCTTATCTTTGTAGGCTTTGTATAAAACCTGAACGGGTTCTCGTTCAGCTGACTCGGCGGTTTTGTTTTGATACATACGCGGCTTCACTTTACGCTGATTCCTCGGGTTTTTTTCCAGTTGTAGTCTTTGTTTGCCGTTCACCAGAGTTTTCAAGGTATTGTTTTTCTTCCCTCTCTGATTTAAGAACGACGTCTCCCCATCGCAGTTCTCTCTGCTCTTTGCATCCACGTAAACGAAAATGTAGTGTGTTGTTCAACCAAACAGTGCTTACAAGAGCTTGTGGTGAACTCAATTCAAGCACCTTCTTGCTAAGAAAAAATATCGATCTGATCGTCGCTTCAAGCTGTGGTTGCGGTGGGTTTATTGCCCTTCCCTTGTCGCTTCAGTTCTTTCTGTTTTGCTTTAAGGGCATCTGACGTGTCTTTTGAAAATCGTTGTCTTTTGATAATAGATTTCCCTGCATAACCGGCACGACCTAGGTGGCACTCAACACTCGACAAAATTCCTCTAAGCGAAGAAGGTTCGCGCTCTTCGTCTTTTTTTGTTCTTGCAGCGAATATGAATTTGCTTAGATAGTTGTTAAGGTCAACTGCTGTAATCTCTTCAATGCTTCTTTTCTCGCTGTGCTCTGTTAGAAACTGCTTGACAAAATTTATGTCGTACAGTGTCTTTCTCTTTGTGTTGGCAGTTTCCCCCGTTTCGGTCAAATTATCAACTTCGCTATCTGTCATCGGAACAAACCTTCCATCAATCCCTTCGTTTTGCACGTCGTCGAAAATATTTATGTCGAAATTTGGTAGTTCATTTGAAAATCCATCTTGTTTTTCAACATGATTTGTGAATGAAAAAGCCGTGAACGCGCGCGATGGTGTGATGGTAATTTCCTATTGGCTGAGACTGAAGTAGTCATGACAACCGTGATATCTTCACATATGAAAGATAAAAATTCTGTCTTCACTGGATACCAAATTTTCGTCACCGGAAAAATCCTGGTATTTCATCGGTGTCTATATAATAATAACAAACTGACAGTAACCCAGCAAAATTAGCAGGTGAATGAATTGCGAAATGGTAGTTCAGACTGTTAAAGGGGTGGTGCCAGTCACTAGATTTGGTGCTACAATGGACGCTGTCGTACGCGGACACCCTCAGGACGCGTAAATTCAGTCCGTAACTGGAGCTGGCCGAGAGCTTGCTTGGGAGTTGAGAAAAACGGGGTTCTGTGAAGGCGGCCGTAAGCAGAGCTTGTCGTTTACGAGATTAACCGTCAGGAGAGCTTCCGCTGTACTCAAATTTCCGCTGTACTCAGATGTCAAACTTAATGCTCTTCAGTTTACACATCAAAAGACAAGTACAGGATCAAGGCTATGCTTTTGCACGTTGTCACGGTTGTTATTTTTCGTGTCTGGTACCAACAGACCTTTTTGGCTTGTATGATTCACTTTTTTCATTGAAGGCCACGTGACCTTACCCAAAAGAATCGGTTTTTTCAAATGTTGTGCTGTCCACGTGCATTATGCGTGCATAACCAGTTAAGACAAAAGGCAAATTCCCTTAAGAAAGTCACGTCGCCTGAATAAAATCTACAGGAGCGAAAAACAGAAAAAAAAAAAAAACCGTGCGAATACTGATACATAACCGACTTTTATCAGTTCATTTCCTAAAACAAGATTTGAACTACTGGAATTTTTCTATTGTGTTTGAGCTTAAAAACAATAAAAAATTCCAGCAGGCAAATGCGACAGCTATACGCGCGTATACTGAAAATGAATCCACCCTAAGTTACTATACTAGCATGTAAGTAAAACCTCAAGACGGGTAATTACGAGTAATGGAATAAAACAGTCTCTAAAAAGGTGATCCTTTGGCTATGTTACTAGGAACCAACATTAATGCCCCTCATTATAAATTTGGGTTTGCTTCCGCCTTCGGGTGGGAAATGTCTTTTTGCTCGAGGAGTATATTTTAAGCATAAAGTACTTCAAGGCATGTTGATCCGTTAAAGATGTCCGCTTAATCATCTCTTTTGAATTTGCTATTATGTTTTCCATTTTTGTAACTAAAAATCTTTATTTCTTTTTCAAATTAAAGCATATTTATTTCTAGGCATATTTTTCTATTAACGTAGTTGTTTAAGTATTTATATTATACTAGTAAATAATTTGTGTCCTTTGGTCCCTAGATTATACGTTATTTTTATGGAGTTAATTCAATAAAGACTAAATCTGGCGAAAGTGTATCGGCAAGTTCTGGTCCTCGATTACCTCTCAAAATACATATAACTGATGAATTATCGGTAATTAATCCCCTGTGAGTTAAAGCTTTTAATTTTGCACTTTAGGACACTGGAAAATTACAATATAAAGATGGGGTCACATTGCTTATTTTCACCCAGCATGCCCGTAGTTCTAAGAGATTTTTAGTTACGCGCAAAATGAACGAAACTTACAACCTTCCAATTCGGAGCAAAGGGCAAACACCATGAATCTTACTAAACCTAGAGCCCGTTTGTTTGTGTGTTCTATAATTTTTCGGAAAAAAAAATGTAAGAAAAATAGACAATTTTTACATGATCACATACTCCTCTGTGACTACAAATGCTCCTCTGCGGCTCGAGAGCTGTGGTGCAGCTGGGCATGCTACAGCTTGTATAGAATGGAGTGTTATATAAGGGCCACCTTATCATGTGGTCAACACTTCACGTTGTCTTTGTTTATTTATTTTTTTGTTTATCAGTCCAGAGCATTTCCACCCTAAGAAATGAGCGAAACAATAGCGTAACGTCACAGTATGGCGGATTAGAAATATCCTTGAGTGGATCAGTCGAAATGGCGTGGAATTAAATCTGTTGTCGACAGGACGAATAGAAGATACCGGAGATCGGCCCGCTCTATTGCACTATTGCTATTCAGTCGATGCAAACAGATATTAAAGACACGTCTCTCTTTTCGTGCAAACGTTTTATTCCAGCAAGTAATGAAAGGGTTCATAACTTCTCTTCAGTTATATTATAAATTTTTTTGTCGCGTATGCTCGACTACTCTTGACGCTTGACTATCACACAATAAATTTCATGAAGCAATCATCGCGTGATGTGACTCCAAATTTGCACCATAATTGGGTAGTTGCTTGTTTTGGTTCGCATCTCAACCTTTATTTATTTAGTTTAATTAACGAGGACATGTGGACTGTTCGAACCGTGCAGCGATCTTATGATGGGCTTTTCAGAACTGAAGCTGAGGGTTCCTACCCAGATTTCTTACCGAATTTTTCCCCTACCGTTTCCTTACAGGTCTCCGTTCTTTGAATACAGTTGAACCTCTCCACAACGGTCACTTTGGGAACAGAAAAACGTCAGGCCGTTGTAGAGGGGTTTAAACAAGAGTCAATGCATGGCTTGTCCGCCAAATAGTGCCCTTTGTGGAGAAATGGCCCGGGTTAGAAGAAGTTCGACTGTAGTTTGTAACTGAATGGATGATCGAGAATTTACTGATTTACTAAAAGTATAAATGCCTTCTTCTAATCCTAATTGAAGAATCCGGAAACATATATGCTGCACTTAATTTTTGTTTTTCATTTGTTTTGGGCTAGTAATGTATGCTAACTAATTTGAATCTAAGGAAAAATATTAACTAAAATAGAAAACTAACAAACTACAACATATATGAATGAGTCCGCAAAACGCTCCTCCAGTGTAGATCTAGCCCGCCTCAAGTCAATCGCAATTTTTGCAAAACGCTACTTGTTCATCTTGGTAATCCCGGCATGGACATAAGCGCATGCGTTCTGGATCTTTGGATACACAGCTAAACAAAAGTGACATTGCTTGTAATGTGCAAGCTTTATCCGCTGGAGCGTGTGAAGGAGCATGAAGTCTGTTCTCCTTCGTCTGTTTATCACAGGTTATTCCAAACCTAAGCAAGACAAACCATATGTACAGTCAAATCTGTTAATACGGACGCCGAGTGGGGCATAGAAGCGCCCGTATTAACAGGGTGTCCGTATTAAGTGGGTTGAATTTAGAGAAAAAGTAAGGGCTTTCTTTCCCCACGGACAAAGCAAACGTTCCGTAATAATGGGGGGTCCGTAAACCGGGTTTGACTCATACCTCGATTCTTTGATATCGTCACAAGAGTGACATGCTAACGAGGTGAATCGGGCCAAGTCAGGCTGCCGCAGGTGCAGTTGAACTTGTTCATAGAAAAACAAGAAGCATTTTTAATTGACAATGTCGACCCTTCACTGACCATAAGATTTTCCGAGAAGGACCACATCTCTATCCACCTTAGGGACAGAGACATAAAGAAAAGATCGCAATTGTCAATCAGCAACAACGCTCCAAACCCCAAAGGTCAGTTTTGTATTATTTATTTATCTATTTGTTGGTGAATTTTATGCCTGATGAATACACGAGAAAAGTGTATTTTTCAGTGAGTCACATGCGGCTCGGTAGGCAAAACTTACAGGGTGTCCCAAAAGTTCGTTCCTCTACTCTATATTTGTCTGTATCTCATTACGATTGGACTTGGTAAGCAAATCGTTCAGTCAAAAGTTGTGTCTTTCAATCTAATTCACCATTTTCACACTTGTTGTGCCATCTTTTGACGCGAATATTCGATATATATACTTCCGCGCCAAAGGTGCGCTTGCGCGAGCATATTTTCAAGCCACATATTTTTTGTATTTTATAGCCCGAATTGCTCGAACTACTTTCTTGTTTTTTGTGAATATCACGAAAGATAAACCCCCTTAACGTAAAAACGTTCAGCTGCGTGAGAGCATAAGCATGTATACTTCGATTTACTGGCTCATATGTTGTAGAAACTACGCTAAAAAACTGGCAAAGTCCGAGTGTTGGCTGGTAAAATGATCATGGAGAAATGAGTTTTTGAAGGCAGGAAACAAAGAGGAAAACCAAAAGTCTCAAATAAAGCAGCTACTAAAAATAGTTTTAAAAAAGGCTAGATACCAAATAGGACACTCGACGAGGAAACGCTCACATAGTTAGCAAGCCAAGTCCAGAAAGGGTCATGAAAAACGACTGTTGAAAATTAGAGGCCCCTGAGGTGGCAAAA